AGACGAAACCATCCATCTCAGCTCTCTTTGGCGTTTCGCTGATTCTGTTTCCTCTGACAAGAGCATTACTCCTTTTCGCATTAAATAAACAGAGTAATACTAATTTGCGAATGCTCTTTCAACTCTATTGAATCCTCCATACCATCACTACCGTCCAACTACATCACAATCCCATCCCCACTTACAACTCACAAAAATCCGACGGTCATCCGCACTCTTTTCATACACCGTCATGCAGCCTAACATCCCTCCTCATTAAAATGGTCAACGCCATGACGTAACCCTGTCACCTACCCAATCACCCATTGCCACGTTTCAACTTCAACTCCCTGAGCAACGGACGTCAAAACTAGCATTTAACTGCATTCCAAAGACTCTGGTTCGGGTCCAGAGTATCCAAAGAAATTTTGCAGAGGGAGAGTCTTGTGTTCAAGTCAAGCTTCCGGAGAAACATACGAAGACTTCATTTCTTTTTCAAAAATTTTTTCTCTTCTTTTCTGGAGAGAGAGAGAGAGTAGATTTTCCATTTCTGGCTTGGTTTCGTTGAGTCTGTAGCTGTGGAGATGGTTGTGGATCAAAGGAATCGCAAAATGTGAGGGATGTTCGCCTTCGAAGGTGAGGGAATCTATGGTTGCTTGTGATTTCTGTTTGGATTCAGAGAAAGTGAAGGAAACTTTTTTCTTTCTTTTGTTGATTTGGATGTGGTAAACGGAAATCTCAGCTTAGTTTGCTGTTATGGAATGGAAATGATGCTTCAACTTTGTTTTTATCGCTTTTTTTATGGATTTTTTTCTATAATTTTTTCTATGCAAGTTGCTATTTCTGGCAAATTTCTATGACTATAGATGATTTCATTCTTGCTTGAGGTCTCTTTTTTCGCTTTGTCCAGGCTATAAATGTGATTCTCTTTGATACAGACGGAGACTGAGCAAATTTCTTTAGTTCTATTTTAATCACATATGGCATCTACGGCTATGGCACCTGCTTCGGTAGATGGAAGAAGTGGTGGCGATGCAATGCTGGTGGATAAACTTCCGGAGGAGATAAATGAAATGAAGATTAAGGATGAGAAAGTAGAAAAGGTTTCCTTATTAACATTGATTTGGAATTCTGGATGTATTTATGATAGGATATGGATGGAAATGTATCTACAATTACAAATCTCTTTGCTGTCAATTGCTTCCTGCTCTAGTCTTTATGAATTTTCCGTGACAGGAAATGGAAGCAATGATGGTGGATGGAAATGGAACTGAAACTGGACAAATTATTATGACAACCATTGGTGGTAGAAATGGTCAACCGAAACAGGTATATTTTGTGCTATCATTTTGTTTTAATTAATGTTAGTTAGCTAAAGCTGATATCACTTGCACCTCTTGTCATATAAGTGATCCTAACTCTTTATGGTTGGATTCCTAACAAGTAACAACTCTCAATAATTGGCAGTGTAAATTGATAAGTACGTATTAGACTGGTGAATTATGAAGTTGTTAATATCCATTTGGATAAATATATGCATATGTTTTATCTGTGGCATTTCCTGACCAAAACTTTCAACTTGGATCCTTGGTTTTTTTTTTTCTCGTTGACAAGCAACATGTCTGTGGAATTAGTGTCATCCATGGGTATAGCTTTTGATATATCGTAAGAAGTTATGTTGACATCTAAATGCTCTTGTTAATGTAGCATGCCAATGTCCAAATGTCTCACTGGATATAATACAGCTCTTACTGCTCAAATTCTTTTTGAATTGTTTTTCAGACCATTAGTTACATGGCTGAGCGTGTTGTTGGTCAAGGTTCCTTTGGAATTGTATTTCAGGTGATTCTCTTATGAGCTTAAAGTTGTTGAATGTTAGATGGTGTAGTTTTACTGAATTATGTATATTATGCTTTCAGGCTAAGTGCCTAGAAACTGGGCAAACTGTTGCAATTAAGAAGGTCTTGCAGGATAAGAGGTATAAGAACCGTGAGTTGCAAACGATGCGCCTTCTTGATCATCCCAATGTTGTTTCACTCAAACACTGCTTCTTTTCAACCACTGACAAGGAGGAGCTCTATCTCAATTTGGTTCTTGAATATGTACCCGAGACTGTTTATCGTGTAGCAAAGCATTATAGTAGGGCAAACCAACGTATGCCTCTGATTTATGTCAAACTCTATACATACCAGGTAATTTGTGCTTGCGTGTCTGGCATATCCTTAGCATCTCTTGCTTTCTGATTATCAATCCAAGTCACAGGTTAATCTTTCTTATCCAGGAGTATAATCTGTGTTTTATACATTATGAATTTTTGCAGATCTGTAGAGCTTTGGCCTATATCCATGGTGGAGTTGGAGTATGCCATAGGGATATTAAGCCACAGAATCTTCTGGTTTGTAATTGAAACTCATGTTTTGTAGGACTTATAGTTAGATACTACTAACAAATACAACACTATGTTCTGTTGTTGCAGGTTAATCCCCATACGCATCAGGTCAAGCTCTGTGATTTTGGAAGTGCAAAAGTTTTGGTATGGTTTTCCCAATTCTGATTTGTCTTATTAAAGATCAGATCTTATGATGTTGCTTTAGTTGCAAAGTTGATGCATGTAAATCAGTTCTTTCTTTTCTGAAACAAAAAGAAAAACTAAATTATGTTGTCATTGTTTTTAAAAAGTTGAGATTCCAAGAGATAAATTCCAAAATGATTGGATAATACTACTCTCAGTACATCATATACTTATGTTGTTTTTAGTGCATGTTTGTCTCGTCTGGACATGGTTTTAAATTTTCTTAAACAATTTGAGTACATAAAACCATGATGAATGATCCACCTCTGACCTTTTAGGAAGAAAATACTTATCTAATGGGGTATTGGAATTTGGAAATCTCTGTCCATGCATTAATGGCTAAATGTAAGAGTGTGCACTGTCAAGGCCCCACAAGATTTGTAGAACTGCATGCTTGCTGTAGTCCTAAGGCATGTTTAGCTGGTGTACTTGATCCTTAAACATTTCACGTTCTCATCAATTGTCCCCATTTCTTTGGTGGTTATATTTCTTGCCTCTGTTCTGCATTGTTATTTTTATTAAGCCTGAATTGTGCTACTTTTCTGTAGCACACTGTGTTAATGCTTTTTTATCTGGTAACAGGTCAAAGGCGAGCCAAACATATCCTATATCTGTTCTCGTTATTATCGTGCACCTGAGCTTATATTTGGGGCAACTGAATACACAACTGCAATTGACATATGGTCTGTTGGTTGTGTCCTTGCTGAATTGCTTCTTGGACAGGTTCCTTACAAGCTAGAAAATACAGTTTTTTACTTAAATGTACGGTAACAAGTGAATCTAAACATGGATGCATTCTTTTTCACCTTTTTTGGCTATCAAACTTCATAGCCTCTCTTCCCAGGTGAGAGTGGAGTTGATCAACTTGTTGAGATTATTAAGGTACATGTTCCTTCATTCTTGGTAGCAAGACACTGTATATCTGTCTCTAAAAGGACTCTTAATGAATCGGTCTCACGGTCTGAGTATATGTTCTTCTCATAGGTGCTGGGAACACCAACTAGAGAGGAGATCAAATGTATGAATCCAAACTATACAGAGTTCAAATTTCCCCAAATCAAGGCACATCCCTGGCATAAGGTGAGCAGAATGCTTTCTTGCTTATTTATTTTCTCTAGTTTGGACTTGTCATCTTAATTTTGTAGCAATGAATCTATTACTGCTTTTATTGACAGATATTCCACAAGCGCATGCCTCCTGAAGCAGTTGATCTTGTGTCACGACTTCTCCAGTATTCTCCAAATCTGAGGTGTACTGCTGTAAGTATTTCCTACTTGACTATTGTTAGCTCCTCAGAAAAATTAATGTCAAGATCTAAGATTTGATAGTGCTGATGAAAAAAAGATCTAATACTCGATGGTTCTTGTTTAAGATCTAACACTCTAATCTATTTTCATTAATTTTCAATAATTTTTCCTTTCCTCTGCTAAAATTATTTTGTAATATATTAAATTCATTCAATGGAAAAGGCTGGTCCCTCTTTCAGTCATTTCAATTTAAGTTTAACATATTCTCCCGAATTAAACCCTTAACAGAGCTGGGGTAACTCATTAAGGAAGCCATTTATGAAATTATACATTGTCAACCTCAGGTTCTATTTTGTTTCAAATATAAAATATATATTTTTGATAGTCATATATAAAATAAAATAAACAAATGGTTGTTTTATGTTCTGCAGTTAGAGGCATTGGTACACCCATTTTTCGATGAACTTCGTGATCCTAATGCCCGCCTCCCTAATGGACGCCCCTTGCCTCCACTGTTTAACTTTAAAACTCAAGGTTGTCATCTCCACCCGTTTAAATTCTAAATCAATGTTTTATCATTGTTACGTGTTCTGAGTCATACCACTGCAATTGCAGAGCTGAAAGGAGCAAGTACAGAGCTTCTGTCTAAGCTGTTACCAGAACATGCTCGGAAGCAATGCTCCTCACTGGGCTTATAAGTTGTAAGGTTTATGTTCATGTGTAAGAGGAAATTGTATGTTGTACCATTAGAGAACACAGTTGTTTGTTCTCATGGATCTTCACAAATACGTGTATCTTACCTATTTATTCTCAGACATAATGTTGCTCGTTACTCTTCTAAATTTGGGATGCTTAGATTGGCTCTACATCATGATTTACATTAATTTTATCACCTCTTTACAGTTTATTTGTTTTCACTTGATGTACACTCGACTTGCAAATGCTGTCATTTCTTTCTTCCTCTGTTTTACGAAAGCTGTATCAGGATAAGCTATTAGGTGCCTGGAAGAAAAATTATTTTAAGTGGCACCCTAGGTAGTACGATATCAGAGCAGCCAAGACTCAAACAGACATGCAGGCTAGCGCACCAGTGCTTTGCCTTTTCTGGCTGGACTGAGCCTTTCAGGTACCACTCTGGCCAGGGGAAACTAGCATCCACATACTGGTATATCTAGCCATGCTGACTTGCACTGGAAGATTTTGATGTCTGTCTTCGTTATCAATGATTATGTAGAAGTTATTACTGCAAAGTTCGTGTCATAATAAAGAGATTTTTTGTATTGTATCAAAACTCTATGTGTTATTGATTAGAAAGATGGGTGACAAAATTGAATTGTATTTACGTATAAAAAACTAGAAAATTCAGTTACAATTTATTCTATCAATTACGGTTGCAGTGTTGCGAGCCAGATATGGATAAGGAGGAATGCTAGGGGCAATCGCCACAAGCACTCGCCCAAAAACACCGGCTGAATGACTTTTCCACGTCACCATCACTTTAGGTGAGTTACAGGAAACTTAGAATAGCCGGTTCCTTTCACTTCTTTTTGGAATTGCACAATCATCTGACATCCTTTTTATTAAGAAGTCTTATGGAGGAGGGAACTCTGAAAGATTCCATAAAAAATGAAAAACTCCTTTTATTAACTCCGCGCCGGCGCCATGACTAGTAATTAAACATGATTTTATGAGCTTAATTTTGGCATTTTAGCTGCTTCTACCGTAGGAAGAGCTTGGACAGTTCAAAGTTTGCTAAGAAAGTTTCTCTCCTTTTGAAGGTAACATAAATGACTTTTTTTTTGGTTTGAATCTGTAATTTAATTTATGTTGATTCTATTGATTTTGAAAATTTATTATTTTTCTTTTTATTTCATGAGTTAATTAGGTTATAGACCATGAAATTAGTTGTTAACCAACTGGATTTAAAAGATGATAAGCAAGAAGAGCATGTTGAAAAGATCAATAATTTGGAGTCTATTGAAAGTGATGGCTTAATACCTTTTAGAGGATATATGAAGTCTCCCTGTTGTTAATCTAAGTTATGTTTTGTAAGAATTTTATTTTGTGATTAAATTATAAGATACTTATATTTTAGAATTATCAATTTTTAATAGAGGTTAGAATTGCATCTTCTTCTTCTTTTTTTGTGGTTTCCCGCTCGATATCTGGGGTTTCGTCCCAACTACTCCGGACTCGATCAGCTGTGGCGCACCAGAATGGTGGGTGGGTCTCCCAACGAAAGCTGCTGTGTACACAAGGTTTCGAATTCGAAACTTTACTTAAGTTGGAACAAGCCGCTTGCCAAGAATTACATCTTTTTTTTTTTCAAAAAAATTCAACTACAAGTATACTCCTTTACTTAAAAAATAAAAAAGTAAATATAGATTTGTTTTTTATGTTCCTTTATGATATAAATTAAGAAATATTAATTATATATTTTTTGATAATTTATATAAAAAATACAAGAATTAATTTAATTTTTAGTATTAGTAATATAGATATAATTTTAATTATATAATTAATAAAATAAAAATAAACTTTTATTTTTATAATAATTAATAAAAAATATTATTAATATATTAAAATAAAAAAGAGTTATAAATATATCTCCTTTGAAAGCAAGATAACGTTAATCAGCCGTGGAAATAAATGGTGGTGACTGGTTGAGAATATCGAGAATGCTTGAGGTAGCGAAAAGAAATTAGGAGGGGACAACCGGTTGCCCATTAATCTCGTTGAAAAACAGTGTGGCGCGGGTAGGTGTTCGATATATATATATATATTTTAATTTAAATTTAAATTTTATAAATAAAAAAATAAATAATGAGAAATTTTCTCCCTCGTATATGACCAGTCACACCGTCTGGGCTCCTCATCTCATCGGCATAAAGATTTGATGAATTCTGAGGGTCAGGTTATGTGGCCTCCAACAATTTAAAAGATTATCTTTATGGTAGTCAATCAATTCTGTATTATTCATTTATTGTTCAGGACCCATTTTCTTTCTTTCTTCTTCTTCTTCTTTTATTATTATTTATTATTATTATTATTATTATTTTTAAAGAGAGCAGAGTTCTATCATTTCACTAGTATTACAAAGGGTGAGGGGAAGGTTGGTTCTTGAACTCAGCACTCACGAGCGTCTTCTTCTTCCAGTTTAGTGAAAGGGTTTCAAATTAGTGATTAATGATTTAATTAGATTTAATTTAATAACATAAAAATATTTAAATGAATAATAATGATAATTATTATTAATTATTAGATTATAAGAAAAAAAAATTTTTTTTTACCAGGTAGATGATTAGGAAATTAGTAGAGTTAGTTTGTTAACAGCTGAAATTTTTTCAAGAAAGTGAATGTTTCACCCCTCATTTGAGGCATGCGACCATTAGGTCGCAAGTTGGTGGAGTTCACGACGGTAGCAGAACTCGAAACCCTGACCTTTGCCTCACCCAAGCCCTAAAACTTGAGGGTCAACCAATTAAGCCATAGCCCCGATTGGCGATTATAAGAAATTGTTTATGCGTTAGTTTTAAAATGTTATACTAAACATTAAACAACTATATAATATTACAATGTTCTTAATTTTAAGAATTAATTTATTGATAAATAAATATTATTTTATAAATTAAATTCAGAAGTTAAATTTTAAAATTAATACTTAAAAAATTAATTTTTTTAAATATATCAATTTAATATAAAAATATATTTTTAAAAATTATTTAAGAGAAGAATAATTTTAAAGTATGTGCCAAAAACAACTCATTTGGAAAGATTTTTTTTTTTTTTAAAAAAAGAAGTTACATTGTCACTTGGCTTGCCATCTACGGACAGAATCATCAATTTTACTGTTGATGCCCCACGAATGATGAGTGTTATATAATATAAGTTATAATTTAAATTTTATTGAATTCGTTATTTTATCTTCTTAACACAATTTTTT